ATATTTTCCTATGAGAGCGGTTCTTAAGTCAAAAACCCTCAGTTCATAACTCAGGCCATTCTTAAGTCAAGACCCCACTGTATAAGTCTCTGGTTCCATCTAATGGCTAATACTAGTAATACACATTGGGATTTTTCATTTTTTAAATTTTTTTTTCAGGCAGTTGATACCTGAAACTGCCATGGGCATATGGCAGTCCTACTGTACTGGGAAGCCATGGACAGTGGCCACTAAGTCAAGAGAACAACAAATCTAAGAAGTTTGGGAACCACTGCTGCAAGGGCATATAGAGAGCCCACATTACTCACAAAAGACATTTTTCAAGCATTTATGCTGTTCCTGGGCCTCATGGGAGGTTCGATATGAACCATTTTTCATAGGCCCTGCCTCTAGGTTTGTGGAATAAGTTATACAAGTTGTGATTATGACACCCTATTCCCTGCCCTGCCTCAGCTGGCACGATGGGCAGAAGAGCATACAGATTCTGACTATTTTTTATTCCATTTCCCTCCCCCTCACTTTGGCTTCCTATCTTGGTGATTTTGCACTTACTATAAAAAGTTATCTACTTATTAAACATCAGGTTTCACTAAATATTTAACAGATACTCTGCACTGTAAAATTCGCAAAGGGACATTTTAATGCAACCAAAATGAGCCCAATATCATCTTTGAAGTTGTTCTAAGTCTACCATAATGTTTGCATTCATCAACTCTGATTGATCAACCATTGTTTGAATACATACTTATCCAAAATTATGCTGTAAAATATAAAACAGAAGTTGCAGGGTTAGCACCTACTACAAGTAAGCTTCAAAATTTATTTAGCTGTTCATCTAACATCCAAGTTACATTTTGACTGGCACCATTTAAATGTATTCTTTGCTTTGCCCAATGTCAGGGATCCTGGCTTTTAATAACACAGGGAGATCTTTGGATGGTCCAAAATTGAATTCCAAAATTGTACTAAAAAGACAGTACGCATAAATATTAAAGAACAAGAAAATAACTGTCCATGGTTCAGGATCTTCCATTTTAGCCTCAACTCTGCATCCCATTCTCTCTCTCTCTCTCTCTCTCTCAGTAAAAATAGAGCTGAATTCCAGGGGCACAGCAAGCTAAGCAAGGGCACAATCCCACTGACAATTTCAATCAATCTCTGTTCAGGTTGTTTGACAATCAGCTTCAAACCATGTGGTATCTAAATTGTTTGCCTCATTCACATTCACTGAATGGAAATCAATTTATTTCTAGTGATTTAAACCAGTTTTGGTATCTACACTGATGAAATGACTCATTTCCTTTCTTCTTTAGGAGTCTGTTTTTCGTTACCATGTGCCTTTTTTAATTTTTCTTTTTACAAAATAAATGATACAGTGATGAATCGATGGCTCAATTCAGCCAAGAACATCATAAGGCAGTAGCCAATACCTTGCTAAATAATACTATAACTATTTTTTTAAAAAAAAAAAACATGAAAGTAGAAGCTGCAGTGGCAACACTACTGTCATTAAACAGGAGCACAAAGAAATCGATAACACCATCCACACCCTCTCAACCAAACTGATTTAAATCAATTAATAAGTGAGTTATTCTAAAAAAAGCCCCTGCTGGTCATTTGACAAAAACTTGCTTTGGAGTACAAATAAATCTATTCCTCTAGTGCACTGGTTCTTAACCTTGGGTTACTCAGGAGTTTTGGATTGCAACTCCCAGAAGCCTTCACCACCAACTGTGCTGGCTGGGGTTTCTGGGAGTTGCAGTTCAAAAACATCCGAGTAACAAAGGTTAAGAACCACTGCTCTAGTGTGTTGTGGGCACAAGAAACTACAATTCAATTTTTAAAATGCTTAAATTGATGTAACCATGATTCACTTTCCCCATAGAACCGCGCCCTAAGGTGGTCAGTTCCTGGATCTTAGAAAATGGGTTGCAGTCATAGATGTCTTGTGAGATTTCTTCACCCACTCCAATTGGAGGAAAGCCTGATTTATGACTGTAATTTGCACTACAAAAAACCTATACATTTTCCATGTGTGTACTTGAATCCCACAAACAGTGGGAGGAAAATCTATTATGTGGGCAGAGCTTGAAAGTTCTTTTCTGGGCTAGGAGCTATGCTGGCTGGGGGTTGTAGTCTACAAAAGTAACTATTCCAAACTTTGCCTCTAGGATGATAAGAGCTGCCTGCAAAGGATGCAATGCAATACATTAAAAAAACCCTAATTTTTTTGTCAAGTTGGATGAAGAACTGGCTTGCTTTAGTTATATTTAACTACTTTCCCTCCAGTGAGCTCATGATGATACATATGACTTTTATCCCTACTGTATCCTCACCAAAATTTTGTGAGGTAAGTTTGGGGAGAAGAAAAGAAAAAAAGACTAGCCCAAGATCCCGTGGTTAACTTCTAACTGAAGTTAAGCATTTTTAAATCCAACTGTTTACAGCAGCAGAGTTTTGTGAAACTCTTCTATAGAGACTAGAGAAATGGAAGACTACTTAATTGTTTTGGATCATGCTCCATATTTAATGCCAGAAGCCCCTAGAAAAGATGTTTCTATTAGTCATTAAATTTTATCAGTAATTTTCCCTTCATCTTTTGGTTCCAGAACTGCACTATCTGCTTTTTGCTGCTAATTTTCCCAGGAGTGGTCTACCGCTGTGCAAATGGCCAGGATCTCATAAACTCAGCATTCTCGTTTGATGAGCTCAAGTCGAAGAGATTGCTATTCAACAAAAGTCTTCGTTTTCCAGCGAAGTGGCAAGGGGAATAATCAAAGAACATAAAACACAGAAGGATATTATCTTAATTGTAAGATTAGCTGATATATTTCCCTAGTGGGAGATCCATTTCCAAAGAATAGCATTTTCTTAAAGGTAACATAAGAGACGGCCTCAAACTTAGAAAGCTTTATTCAGCCAAGAATATCAGACTTCTGGTCAGTGCAGGCCCTGGAAAACTGTACATGGTGAAGACTCCAAAGCTACCCTTACTAAAGGGTGAGTGGTTCTGCCAAAGATGAAACCATTCTCTATTTCTCCCAACACCTTCCAAATACAGTATATATTTGCTGACTTAACAGAAAGGTGGAAAGTTCACACTTATTGAATTCATCTGTGCTCTCTGAATGCCTAGCCCTTGCTTTCTATTGCTCTGAAATCAGATCTAGTACGACTAAGCAGTGTAGAATACCATAGATCACCTTCTCTTAATTTTGAGGATGTTTCCTCAGCTCAGCACAGGCCTAGCCAATATAAACCTGAAGCATGCCCTTGTCAGACAGAATGGATAGAAATGCCTCTTGTGGCATTTGGAAGCTTACCGTTCCCCACACCAGTGGGTCAAACAAAAAGTATCACCTTAACCTTGTCAGATGGTCAGGTAAGAGGCCTGACTTGAGATTCCTTCTCAAGTCAAGTTGTTCTCATCATCAATAAATCAGGGCTATTGAATCCGTGGTTCTCCACATGTTTTTGAACTCAAGTTACCATAACCCTTAAGACACTTTGGCCTAAGGTAGGGTATGGTGGGAGTAATAGTTGATTTGTTATGAACACACAGCTAGCTTGTTAGTTACTGCTACCATTAAGGCTCTAATATTTCCTGTTGTTCTCATCTTTTCAGCTTTGTTTCTACATCTACAAGTTTAGCTTGCTGGAAAAATAAATTAACATTCCTTGCCCCCAGAGGCTATAATGAAATAAAGCAAGCATCTGCTTCTTGAAGTTCTGAAGTGATTCTACAGCTATTTGCTACCATTAACTTTGTTTTCAGAAAGGACTATACCCAGAACAGCACGGGATAACACAATTTCACTTAAAAAGCAGAAAACAGAAAAGATTCACTAAAGCCCTTGAACTGGCGATCAGCCCATCAGGTTTACATGTCACATATGTTTAATAGCACAGTCATGGATCAGAAATTAGCTTATTGTTTCATAGATTACAACTTTGGAAAGGCCTTGTTCTACACACACAATGTAAAGCAAGAGCTGGTGGTAGCTTATTAGACCACTATATTTTTAATATATAGATATATAGCTTACTTTTAACATATACTAGTCTTCATCAGGCTGTGCATCATTATGCTGTGGCTATTGCAGAAAAAAAAAACATATGGAATTCCCCCAAATCATTACAGATACCTGTGCCAGGGCTGTTTCTTAAAGGTGTGTTCAAAACTGCAGTTTGTAAACATGTCAGAAATGTAGGTTTCAAATTCCACCCTGGTGGCCATTGGCTGGATTGTCTCTCCACAAGCATCTGCCATGATTTTTGGGTCTTCCATTTTTTTTTTCTGCACTATCCACAGCTTCTTGGTACACAATCTGCTGAAGATCACTATGCTGAAAGCTAGCTATTTTTGTTTTAAATTTAGTAGTCTAATAAGTTTCCCTTGCTTTTCATTTGTGTATGGACCACACAGCTTCATTTATTTTTTCTACACGAAACTGTGGCAGTTGTGGGAAAAGTAGGCTATTACTGTATCATTAAAAATATATGAAATTCCATTTCTGATAAAGAGTGTTTAGGTTCTACAGATATGCATAGGAAGACTAAGCAGGTTTCTTCCTACCATGAATGAAAGGGAGAATTTTATCAGTATGTCTGCTACAATATCTAAGGAGTGTCACTGTCATTTTAATGTGGGAAACAAATCTCAGATCCCTACTTATGTGTAAAGAAATCTGCTTACTTCATTGATATACAGGGACAGACATTTCATCTGAGAGTTCTGTATTGCAATACTCATATGGGTTTTGAATTTTAATAACACTGCAGTATGAACTTGTGGCACACAGCAATAATCTTAATTAAAGTATGAAGGTTATGCTTCTCACGACACAGCTGAAGGACAGTGCTAGTAAAACTTAATGGGAGCAAATTGTAAGTGTTCTTCAGTGTCTTGAAATAACCCTCTCCTTTATGATTTTTTAAATCTAATCTAATAATCTTAGAATTTGTAATACAATTACAAAAACACTTTCCATATTTTCCACATTTATTCTTTATTGTATTGCACAAAATATCTACATAAAGCCGAGACAGATGTATATTCTCTGGAATACCATTTGTGGCAGCACAGCCTGCCATGAGCACGGTGAATAGCTGGTGCTTTCCTCTAAAACCATAAAACAATGAATTGTAAAACTTTAAATATTTGTGTGTCAATGTCAGTAACTGAAGGAACAAAGCTAAAAAAAGATCAAATACATATTTTCTGCAAATGCGCATAAATATACAGTTTTGTACAAAGGCTCTCCAAGAAATTGTCAGATTGTGTGTTTGTGAGCTGTCTATCACAATTGTGTGTGTATGTGCGTGCATGTATGTGTGCAAGCACGCAGGTGTATAGAACTTGCAGTAAAAAGTAGTGCGCACCAAAATAAATTTCACCTCACAAAATAACATACCTGTTCTCACTTTTTAGATTGGATTGAATAGGACTGAACACATGCTGGAGTCAAACTTGGGAAAGTTACTGTCTTATGCTACATATCCCAGAATCCCACAAGCAACACAACCAGCAGTGATGTCAGCTGAGGATTCTGGGAGCTGGAGTTCACCAAAAAGTAAATTTTCCTTAATCTAGTTGGATAAAAATTAAGACTTTTCACAGTCTTAATTGCCGCCTTCGGTGGCACTACTCTGTAGAGGCTACATATATCTTCCATAACAGCTGAACAGGGGGGAAAAGTTATTCCCATTGGAACACCAAACTATGCATTAACACTCAATAACAGTGTAGCCAGAATGAAAAATATTGCTAATTAAAAACAACAACTACTACAACTATCCATCTGGGAAAGAGAGAAGTTATATATTAGGTAATATTGATTGAACTAATTAACATTTAACCTTCACTTCATAAATCTTCTGCCTGGCACACATGCAATCTTTTGAGAATCCAAAGGTTTCTGAAAAAGAATTGAGTTAATAATCCTCCACTTAAAGAATACATCCAAATATTATGTTGGCAACATCCCTTGGTTCTTAGAAAACATTTTAATCCAGCTGAAAATTGTAATGTTAAAATATGTCTTCGTTATGAGACACCTTCATGTTAAAAAACATGGAAATTGTGTAAAAAAATAGTTTTAAAGTCATTTGTTTTTAGAAAACGTGTCAACTGCAAACGAGCTGGTTCTGTATCTATACACATAAGGCACAATCCATCCAAAGTTAAGCATCTCTAAATCCCATTTATTCTCAGTGGAGATTTTAACATATGCTTAACTCTCCCACTGATACCATTGGATTTACACCCAATGCTAAAAATCAGAAATTCATTGAAGGGCTACTAAGTTCATTCCAAAGAAATATGCATTGGATTGCAGCTGTAATTGTTTAACTTTCATGGATGGTGCCCATGCACTTCAGCTGTGTTGATATGTGTAACTGAGGTGAAAAGAGCTACAAGTCCTATGACTTGTTTTTGTCCATCACGCTGAGCACTTCATCCAAAAGTGAAGGGCCAAGGTCAAGTTTCAAAGAAAGGAGAGGCGCTTCCAGATCTGAAAGGGAATCTTCTGGTTTAGGCTGAGTTTTAGTTAAATCACATGAACGATGGCCGTTGTCAAATAACTCCTCTGTTTGCCATGCAGTGTATTGTTCCGAAAGACTGGATGAATGACTGTCTCTTCCATTCGTACAATGCGATGTTGGGACATTCCGCTCTCCTGTGATGTCATCTCTGTACATTTTCCCATTCGCCAAGTGTTTGCTTTTCTCTTGCAACTTTTCTTCCATTACAGGCTCACAGCTATGCCTGGGATTCCTTAATGGGCCCAAAGAGTCCGGCTTTAAACTAAATGTCACTGGTGACAACAAGGGCAGTGTGAGGGCTTGAGAACCACCAATGGCAGGAAGTGATATGGCATTTTTTAGCACCGGAGAAGGCGTTTCGGTAAACACAGAGTCGGAGGTGCTGTTTGCTCGCAGGAATTCACTGTGGCCTTCACATTGGCTAGCCGTTTCTCCCTCATTACCAGGTAAGAGCTCGTAATTTCCTTGTAAAAAAGAGATGTCTCCAAACACATCATGTTGTCCTTCTTTCCCAATGTGAATGGTGTGGCGAAAATCACCCAAAGGCGGGCTGATCATATCAGGAGACAAAATATCCCTCAGCTTGAATTTCTTCCCTTTCTTATTGTTGTCAGCTTTCAGGTAGATGGGTGTTTTGGCTGGCATCTTTTGGCAGTATATGCAGTGGTGGTGGATACAACTTTGATTATAAATGAAAATAAATAGAAAGAGACGGAGAAATAGTCCACAAATCTGAGTTGTTCTTCTCTGGCAAACCCTTTTGTGTTAGCTCTGTTGCATTATTTACTTTTGTGTCACTCCCAAATCCACACAACTGTAGATTCCTTCTAGGAAGCCAGTTTTTGGGAACTGGAGAAGTGTAATCTGGATTTCCTCCTCAAATTTAAGCAGGCTACTCTGTAAGGCTGTAAGAATGCTTGCTTGCTTGCAGGATCTCAGACAGCTGCATGAGAAATAAAACAGGTTATTATTAACTTGTTCATGGTTCATTCAATCTCATATTTGCAAAAACAATTAACAGTGCTCTTGACAGTTCCAGCATGGAGATTAGCTCGATGATATTTCCCTTCATTAAGCAGGATAAAAGGATTTGTCTAACATGGCTAACTAACCTTTTTCCTGACTTGGTACATTTTTCAAGCCAAGCTCCTTAGACAAAGTTACCAAACACAACTCACTTAATAAGCTTCCTATCTTGGCTTCTCCTTTACCTTATTCTGTTAGTCAATAATGTCTACCTCTTTGTCAGGAAAAGCCCACATCTTTTGAACATCACTACCACGAAGGACCTCCAGTATTTTTAAAAAGGAGGTGTATAAACATATCCTTGCAGATCTTTTGAAAATTTGAAGCTAGAAAATCTTCATTTGTGTAGCTGGAAAGATCAAAGCTGAAGCTGTTTTCACAGATGCCTGCAAGTGTTAGGGCATAGCTGGGCAATCGGTTGAAATCATGCCCTTAGATGCTCTTCCATCTCAGTTGCACAATCTCACAAACTCTGATTTACAGACAAAATAACATGTACAGAATGGCTTGGGGTGGGGACTGCATCACTCAAGGAAGAATACAAATGCTATCGCTCTGTCTGTGGCTAGATGGTATATATATTATACTTGAACCTGCCTCCCCTTGGCTCCCTTCAGAGTTTTATGTTTGGGATGATGGAACTTGTACTTCAACATCTGGAGGGTTTCAGGGAGGATAGCTTTATAAGTGCATCAGAGGAGGAAAGCTCAATTCACAAAGGACTTCCATAGATATTTGAACTGTCATCTCCAACCTTACTGTTTCCAGTGCTTCATCTCCTGAGCACATCTTGTTTTTGCAAACTGGAAGTATGATCACACAGGGAAATAGATCACAACTTGGACTACTTGTGGAACAGTCCAGTGTGATCTATTTCCAAGCAATCACACAACATCAAGGGAAATGTAGTCTAGCCTGATCTCAATCCAACCCAACCTGGGTATGGATTGAGGTCTAGTTGCTGGCCTTCTATCTTTTGAGGCCGAGCTGGAGAACTTCCCAAGTGGACAGAAGGGTCACTTTAAGAGCAATTACTCCTGTTGATTACACGTGATCAGACATGTGCCTTTGCAGCACTCTGAACTGTGTTCCTGGGGTAGACTTCAGATCCTTGACTTCAAGGATCAATTTAAACAATGATGAATAGTCACCAAAATGGTGGGAGGGGAGGGAATTAATTTAAATTGAACATTGTTTTAACACTAGAAAGCACACATCCTGGCTAAGGAAATACTATGAATCTCAAAATGGAAAAGATACTTTTAATCAAGACTTGAAATATGTGTTTCGAAATTGCTATATTTCCTGAACCAGCATGGAAGCATCCTAGGACAATTAACTCAAAAGATAAATTTTCCTATATATCACTCAATTGACAAGTAAATAAAGTCTGTTTTTTTTTAAACAGGTTTTTGTCTACAAATATACAAAAATCCATTCAAACTATATACACACATGAGTGGGGGATTGGAATGGCTGTACCAATAAAATCAGCACAGAACTCTGTACTGGGCGGAGGGAAGATGGGACCCTTCTAATATTGTTGGACTGCAACCCACAAAAGTCATAACAAGTTCAGCCAAAGGTGAAGGATGAGAAATGTAGAGGACTCAAACTCCTCAAATTGTGACTGACCTTCACATTCATTTCAATAGGTCTACTCCAGGAAGGAGTCATGTTGGATTAAGCATACAATGCATTTTTTAGATAACAGTAATCTGTTTTAATCTCTCTTATCTTCTGTAACACTTTACTTCTAAAGTATCTAAAGAGAACTACCTAAATATAAAACTGGGCAGAAGTGCCTACAACAGCTTTCAATTTATAAGAAGCCTATTTACCATACAGGCCCTACACATCTTTCAAAGAAACTGAATGGACAACCATATGCAAAACACAAAAACAGATAATCAGGAATAGAATTCCTCAGCCAGGTAGTTTCTACAATAAAAGGAATGAATCACCTCCTGCTAGTGGATTAAAAACGCAGACTTTGTTATTTCAAAACTAAAGCCTGACAATTTTCTGAGAAATAATCTCATAAATTGCTAAATTGCATTCATTTATGTAATTTATATTGTATCAAAACAGGCATTCAACAGCAAAGAATAAAAATAAGACAAAATACTAAAACTAGGTAATTAAGCACACAACTCTTGTTATTGATTTAGTTATTTTAATGCTACTTGTATAAAACTAATTATTTTTTTTATAATTATTACACTTAAAAACAAAAAAGACTATAAAACAAATTCATGTTTGTGGATGTATTTTTATATCTCTCCAGTATACAGTCATTTCAGATTTGCCTTTACCACACCTTTTATAGAAAAATAAAACAAAACAATTTGCATCTAATAAAACTCCACTACACTCTTGGAACACATTCCAGAGTCTTTGATCACATCGCTCATTTGCCTTTTTGAACAGCAGTATTGTGTCCACTTAAAGATTACAGGCAGAGGAGAGTTTTATTTGGAAGCTGGGGATCAATTTCTCTTGCTCATTTATCTTAAAGGAAGGGCATTTTCAGACAGAGGGTTCTGAGTGCTACCATTGAAAAAGAATTGTTCAGTTATCTAGTTTTTATTTCTTCTCAGGGCGTTGTGTTTTTATTTTTTTCGGAAGACACAGCTGGGAACCATACCTAGTCAACAACTTTTGGACCTGCTGTAAAATTCTATGAAGAAGGCAACATGCTTGCAGAGCAAACCTTAGAATTATATAGTAAAGCTATAGGCAACGTAGTTACTTTCAATGAGTTTCCCATCCCTTCTGCACAAAGCAGATAGGAAGTTACATTTCGAAGCCACTGTTTGGAAATGATTACTTGTCCAACAATAAACACGGAATAGCAACACAGGCACTGTATGAGTGTGAAGAGTAAAGTTTACTGACCCCATTGTTCAAAGTTAGTTTTAAAGGGATTTTATAGAAATGTGGACAGGAAATTTTGTTTTGTGCCACTCTTCTATTTTTTTCCAAAAAGTAACAAAACTAACATCATACTTTTTTAAAACAGCAGTTTAAAAATGCAGTACATATTTTAATCACCAATATGCATAAAAGGAAGAAATTATTTTTACAAAGCAAATAACCAGGATTGGTTGTTAAGTCAAAATCCTCCTCAGCAAATTTGCTGAATCCCACTGAACAAAATCAGGCTTCTTTCCAAGCAGACATTAACAAGGGTAGCTTTCAAAATATCCCAAAATCTCAAAGTGTGGGAATGCATGGTCAGAATCGTAAGCTTTGTATAAGCTTATTGGTCTTTGTCTAAGCTACTGTTCTGCTAACTGGCAAGGTGCTGGGCTGCATCTTGGTCACATGCGTGATTCTGCCAATGAGATCTACCCTGCCACTTTGTCAATGAGCTGCAATTAGCCACAGCTTTTTACACATATCTTATGTGAATGCCAACAGGATTCCAGCCATAATGCCTCTTACCACTCCTTTTTTTTAAAAAAGGACATAACAGAAACAATGTAATGGAATAGTTTAAAAAACTGACACAGCTTTTTTAAAAAAAATCTAGCTTAATTTAAAGAAGACGCTGCAGGCTTAAGATACTAAGTCAATTTGCTACAGATATTAGATAGGTACTGTATTATATTCTATTTGTTTCATTTCAGGAATAGCAAAGATATTCTGAGGCAAAATCTTACCTTCAATTCGTAATCCAGCAGAAGATTCTGTAGGGATAGCAGCCTGTAGTCTCTGGAACAGGAGAAGAATGTCAGTGAGAAAAATCTCCTTTTTATACCCTAGCCACTCCCCTGACCTCTCCAGCCATTGGCTAATTTGAAATTATCCCATCAGTGAATGCCAAAGCAACGGCCCTGACATCACATGCCACAGTTAATTGTATTTAAAAGGTTTTCTCTTTGTTGGATTATTGCAGGAATGGTGAATTCATACCTTAGTTCAATGTAATCAACTATGGGTGAAAAATCCCACCCCCACAAACAAATTCTAGACAATAGGCCAGTCATGTAGCTGAACTGTATTAAAAAGATCTTCCCATGGAGTCTCTTTAGTTACTGTGAATTCATACAATTCATACCTCAGTTTAGTTCAACTGATATCACATATTGTGGTCTCTCCTCCGAAGGGTATTTTAATTCTGATTCAATCATAGCCTTGTGTTGCAAGAGGAGGATGCTTTTTAATTCATGTCTAATGTATTTCATGGATCTGATGGACTGTGTTGTAATCCAAGAAAGGTTATTTGGAACAAAATTTGATGGCCTTTCCAGTGCTATGAGCCTCTCTTGGTTTTGCCATAAGAGACTAATGTGGCCAATGTTATTTTACTATTTTATTTTATCATTATGTGTATTCTGTTTTTAAAAGGCAATTTCTCTCTTCTCCTGAGGCCACAACAGAAGATAAGGTATTGCAACTCTTCAAATTTTGAAAAGAAAACAAGCAGGTTTGCTGGAAGAATTCATATGGCACTTAGTGGTTTTTTTATAACATAATATCAAAATAAAACAAACATTTGACTGCAAACAGCATCAGACACAGCAGCACAACCCAAACAATGGTCCTCAGCACTAAGATTCAGAACAAGCACTATAGTACACAATCAACTATGATTAATTATCTCTCATTCTAATTTTTGAAAGTGCTTAAATTACATTCTTTTAAAAAAAACAAAGTACAATAATTTTAAAAACACGGTTAGCTCACAATCCATTCAAAAGTTTAATTTAATTCTTTAATTCTGAAACAGGTCAGTCTGAGACGTATATTTTGATTTTACTCTGCACTGTAGAATAAAGCAGAACAGTAGATTACACTGCTTGTGCCAACCTGCATATTTTTCCTTTCTTTCAATCAACTCATTTTAGGCTATATTCCTGCAGTCTGAGTCTTCCCAAAATATGAGGAATGAATAAAATCTCAACAACTGTTACAGTAGCTCAACCTGTATTTTTACAACAAAACCATACACTAGGTTAGATGTGGGAATGTGCAACAGTCTAAGTCCCAGTTCCTGACTGTATCAGGATTAAATCAAATCAAATTGAAAGAATTAGTAAAAAAAAGCTCCAAAAATATAGGGCAGAGTATGTTAGATTTTGATTTAGCTTTAGAGTGGAAAAGGAAGGTAATGTCATCAGAATCATAACGAAGCCTCAAGTGACCATCTTCAAAGCTGGAGGAAACTGTGGCCAATATGTTTACTGAACAAAGGAAGGCAAAGAATATCAGGACTATGATATGGCTTTTTTCATCACCAAGAAAATCTTTCATTCTTCACACATTCCACAAAATATAAAAATTGCAAATACAGAAGGAAAAAGGAATCTTGACAGGGTTGTTGTTTTTTTAAAGCGATTTAGATCTTTAAAAAATATATGCATTTCATTATTCAGCCCACGCTAAAATGTCGCTGGTTCTTATTCTTCCGGTTACAGCTGTGATACTTTTTATCTCCTGGTTCTGTTAGGGTGTAAGGTGAACCCACCATAAACAGTAAATATATACCATAACAGCTTGTATGGCGGGGAGGTCCTTTCCCCCATTTTTGGAGTGAGGCATCCACCTACTCAGTCTATGTTTATATGACATTAACATCTAATACATTGGGCTACAGTTCACAAATTCTCATACTATAATAAACTTTGTTAATATTCAAGGTGCCACAAGACACGCTGACATGTTTGATGCACTGTTAACTCTTTGGAAAGTGTCACCATATGCTGAGACTCCAGCCCGCATCCCTTGAGTAGCTCCAGAAATGATGAGTAACCATTTTAGCAGGTTGCAGTGCATTTGGGGGATGGTCCAGTGTCTGACAGTAATTTCACATGTTTCTTTTCTTGGTCTACACCACCCAGAGTAGTGATTTGCTAGAGGGACAGTAGATAAACAAACAAACTTGAAATTTGAATATTGTATAGCGACTTAGAAGCTCTATGTGTGTGCATGTTGTGTATCTGTGTTATGCGTTGTCAAGGTGGAGCCAACTTATAATAAGCCTAGTAGGGTTTTCAAGGTAAGATGTTTAAAAAGTGGCTTTGCAAGTTCTACCCCCTTCATGAGCTTCCATGGCTGATGCACTATGGAAGTAATAATGCTGCCTGGACTGGCTGTAAGCAGAGAGGAGCAGCCAGCTGGGGTAGCACATACAGGGTATCCTGAAAGGGCAACATTTCAGAATTATTGAATGGAATTATTTCACTCACAACATCAGGGAGTGGTTGGATCAGATTTCATTTAATACTGTACATAATAAAAACAAAATCAAAAGAGTTGTGTCACTTTAAAGACTGAGACATTTATTTCAGTGTGAGTTGCAAATTATTTTGTAAAAAAGATCTTCTAAATCTTCAATTTAGTGTCACAACTCCTTTGTTTTTACTTTTGTTTTATGTGCTGAAACAGACCAACATAACCTTCTCTTTGAAATTGGCTTTCTTATTGTTTTTTTACTACCAGGAATGGACAGAATGTATGTAAAGGCCAACATGGCAGAAGACAGAATGTTCGGTATAGATCAATAATGTGCCATATATACATGGTGTACAATGGGAAACGAGTTCTATGGCCAGCGTCCAGAGAAACCCTTAGTAGTGGGCAAGCCTCAATGACTACAATAAGATTTATTTCTAAGTAAATTTGCACAGATTTGCACAGCAAGGGTGCACCCATATTCACACTCACCCGGGAGAAAGCCTCATTTCATTCAGTGGGAAACTACTTCTACATATCAGATCAGACAGCAAAATACTAATGTTTGTTTTGCTGTACTCCAATATCATGCGATTGTTTAGTTTCTAATGGGGAAAAAAACCACAATTCTACAAGTTTTAGAGATGCATACACAGACCACACTCAGACCACACAACCCTCTTTATTTCACTTCAGATTGGGAAACCAAACCTGAGGAGTATGAATCGATTTTGAAGACTATGTTCCTGCAATATTCTAACTGATCATTCTCGTTTTCTAAGATGTAATGACAGGACAAGTGTACGCTATGAAAGATCCCTTGAATGATTCTGTCTGTTTCATCCCTGAAACTGGTTAAACCTTAAGAAACAAAGTATGTTGTTACTGAAAAGATAAAATTCATGTTTATTTTAAAGCCGATTTGTCTTGGACAAGATCAAGATTCCGAGCACTTTGGACTTTGCTGAATAGTCAACTGCACAACAGGCAACAGCATTTTTTCACATATCAAAGGTGGCAAATTCAGAGGTGTGAAATGTTTTAATCCGTTATCGCAGAGAAGACTTCATTTTCACTGGGTGGATTCCAGATCTTTAGAACAAAAGAGGGTGTGAACAGCCAGAGAAGTGAGTCACAAATTAGCATCAGAACTACCAATTGTATTAGAAGGACATACTGATTGTATTAAAGAAAGCATCTGGGGAGGAAAATATTTCACTTGAAATACTGAATTGTTTTTTGATTCCATGCTTGAAACTGCGTATCAGCAGAAGATTTAGAAGACAACTACAGAGATCATAAAATACTCGGCTGATCTGACTGCTGAAATGTATGCCTCCCCCTTACACCTTTTCTCAGGGCAAAAACCTTAACATACAGTAAACACAGAGGCAAGGCAGGCCATGTAGAGGAAAAACCCTAAGAGCTAAATAAAACTTTGGGTGGGGAGCCTACAGAAGTTCAAGTAGACCAGTTCAAAATATTTACTGCATGCTCCAAGTAAAGTTAAACATTTGTAGGTTCCAACAATTTTAGTGGGATGTGCTTCAAGGTAACTATGCTTAAATAGCTTTTAGGCACATTGTAAAGTTCCTTCCATGTAATCCAGGAGGCTGAAAAATCATTCATTTTTGCCAGATCCTAGCCTTTGAATGTTTTTAGAAAGGGGAAGCTTGATGATTGTTCAGTGGATGCATCATGCACCAAAACAGATGGAATTACAAGTAGAGTTGGACTACCTTTTGAGCACAGTTATAAATTATTTTTAATAATGGTTTGTCCATTGAAGAATCTGTCTTCAAGAATTCACAAGATTGACTCCAAGCAACAGGGATGCTACAGATGTTAGTCACATAACAGGAAGACGTAGGGAATGTTAATAAGCCAGGGCAGGGTTTGGGCAACTTTAAGTCTACATCAGCTACTTTATGTTTCTGACTGAGACCCACCACTTGGGAGTCTGGTGCAAAAGACATAAACTTAGCATTAAAGAGCATAGGATTTTGTTTCCAATACCCAAACTGAGCACAGTTCATAATCCTTTCAAAGAAAAATTCAAGCTTTCTTTGAGAAGTAAAGTGTGTATGTCTCTCTGTGTGTGTGTGTGTGTGAGAGAGGGGGGGAGGGGGGAGGAAGGGAGAGAGAATTACTTTGTTGCTGTTATCCGTTATTGAATGGTTAACAAATACGAATCAAAAAGGGTTGCAAATCTATTCTAAATAACCCTTAGGTCTACAAGTAAATCGAGACCTACTTTCTACCAATCTCTGAGTAGGAGTAATCAGTAGACTACTGGGATGGTCTCTTGCAAAAGGTAAAGAGAGATTTGTGCACACTTAATTTAGTACAATTTGGGGTATTTTAAAATATGATGGTTGTTATGGGTTTTTGGGGCTCTTTGGCCGTGTTCTGAAGGTTGTTCTTCCTAACGTTTCGCCAGTCTCTGTGGCCAGCATCTTCAGAAGACAGCACTCTGTGCTCTCCTCTGAAGAGGAGCCCGAAAAACCCACAACAACCATTATATCCCGGCCGTGAAAGCCTTCACGAATACATTTTGAAATATGGTTTATGGATGTGAAATGATAAAACACACGTAAAGCTTACTATACTTTTTGTTGTTTTTCTTTTGGAAATGGCAGAGCTGAGCTCCCACAGAGGACTTCTGTGTCATTCTTTTAGATCAGTTCAAACTCGATCTGGATTTACTTGTGGAAAATACGGCTTTGTGGTGCCTACCAGTCCAACAACAATATTTGTTCCTCAACTAAACCCACTATAAATATTTGCATTGCCATCACTGGCAACATTTTAGCCAAATTGGACACACTAATACTGTAGGAGAGTTGTCTAATTCTGTTTAGATATACAGTAATTTCCCAGTACCGTGTGTGGCAATGACTAGTGTGGGCACACATACATAAGAAGGAAGGCGCCTTCAAACCATGCTAAAACTTAAAAGACAAGACATAAAAAGGCAGTAGAATCAGCCAGGACATTGTTTTATAGATGCAGGAGAAAAGTGAACAGCTTGTTCACACGTGCATGTACTTTCCTGCTACAGGTTAGAAATTATTGTTGGAAGAATTATTATATGGCTTTTGCAATGATTCTGCAATGGATCTGTGGTTTTTC